AGTACAGGCAACACTGATACTAAAATACATACTACTACTACTACTACTTCTACTACTACAACTACTCTCTCTTATTGTGGTCTCTCCCTGGTCTCTCTCTGGATTCTGTCTCTGGTCTCTCTCTCTGGTCTCTCTGTGGTCTCTCTCTGGTCTCCCTCTGGTCTCCCTCTGGTCTCCCTCTGGTCTCTCTCTAGTCTCTCTCTAGTCTCTCTCTAGTCTCTCTCTGATCTCTCTCTCTGGTCTCTCTCTGGTCTCTCTCTGGTCTCTCTCTGGTCTCTCTCTGGTCTCTCTCTGGTCTCTCTCTGGTGTCTCTTTGGTCTCTCTCTGTGGTCTCTCTCTGGTCTCTCTCTGGTCTCTCTCCGTGGTCTCTCTTTGTGGTCTCTCTCTAGTCTCTCTGTGGTCTTTCTCTCTGGTCTCTGTGGTCTCTTTTTGTGGTCTCTCTGTGGTCTCTCTCTGGTCTCCCACTGGTTTCTCACTGGTCTCTCTCTCTGGTCTATCTCTGGTCTCTACAACTACTACTACTACTACATGGTACTACTCTACTTTCACAGGAGACAAGCAAACAAGAATGTCATTGCATTGTGTTGAGAGTTTGAATCTTTAACAGAGCACATGGACGTGGATTATAGTTCAAGTTCTGTGCTACATGTTTTAATGGTTTATGAAAATCTGCAAAACGTCTCATGTTTGGACATTGTCGCAGTAAAAGGGGTTCTCCGCGATAAGTCTCCACTTCAGCCTAAAACCCTTTTGCCATTATTTATCTTTAGAATTCTTTATATACACGATTTAGTTATTTTTTCTTATTGTAAACTGTCTAAGATTTTTCAATTGAAGAAATAAAGTACAGTGGATCATGTCGAGTGGGGCTGACGAGTATGGCTTCTTTCTTTCCCACATTTAAACGCAGCAGCTGAACAGAAGTGGAAACCTCTTAAGTAAATGTGTTTGTTGTTGATGTAGAAAAGTAACAGAAATAAGAATTTTAGTTCAGTAAAACTAAAAGGGCTAATTTGACTAAGTTATTTAACTGGTTGGAAATCATGATTTTTAGTTCAATTCAATTCAATGTATTTTTGTATGACCCAATCACAACAGCAGCCATCTCGGAGGTCTTTACAAAGTTGTCGATTCCTCAACAACAGATCAGAGAATCAAACCGTTCAAAGACAGAAAATACAGTACTAAACACAAAGGAGCCATTGGTCCATGGGGAGCAGGAGATGACTGTCCAGAAATGTTCATAAATGTCCAGGATCCTCACTGTCCTGAGACCCTCCTCCATCAGAGAGGAATCAGAATCAGAATCAGAATCAGAATCATTTTTATTGCCAACGTAAGTAACGGGAGGTCACAGACTTGGAAATTGCTTTGGCTCAGTGCAACAGTCAAAAAGAGATAATAAAAATAAGAATAAAAAACACTTCTAAAGAATAAATTTAAATTTAAAATAGAGTTACAGTTACTATTTACAATATACAAGTGCACATGGTGCACACAATGTAAGGTGACAGCAGTACAGTGAAGTAAAGTGACGTATGATGGGCAGTAAAGTGACTTTATAAAGGGCGGGGGGACAGGTTAAGAAGTGTTCAAGAGTCCAACAGCAGAGGGGAAGAAACTGTTCTTGTGGCGGGAGGTTCTAGTCCTGATGGACCGCAGCCTCCTGCCTGAGGGGAGTGGTTGGAATAGTCCATGTGCAGGGTGAGAGGGGTCGGCTGTGATACGACCAGCCCGGCCTCGAGCTCGGGCGACGTACAGGTCCTGCAGCGATGGAAGGCTGCGGCCGATCACTTCCTCTGCAGAGCGCACAATGCGCTGTAGTCTCTGTTTGTCCCTGACTGTGGCTCCAGCGAACCACACGGTGATGGAGGAGGTGAGGATGGACTCGATGATGGCCGTGTAGAACTGCACCAACATCTGTGCAGGCAGCTTGGCTTTCCTGAGCTGCCGCAGGAAGTACATCCTCTGCTGGGCCTTCTTGATGAGAGAGCTGATGGTCGGCTCCCACTTGAGGTCCTGGGTGATGGTGGTGCCCAGGAAACGGAAGGACTCCACAGAGGTGATGGGGGAGTCCATCACGGAGGGTGGGGGCGGGGGGACAGTGCTCTTCCTGAAGTCCACAATCATCTCCACTGTCTTCTGGGCGTTCAGCTCCAGGTTGTTACCACTGCACCAGGACACCAGCCGGTCCACCTCCCTCCTGTAGGCGGACTCATCGTTGTTGGAGATGAGTCCAATGAGGGTGGTGTCGTCCGCGAACTTGATCAGCTTCACGGAGTCGTGGCTGGAGGTGCAGTGGTTGGTGTACAGGGAAAAGAGCAGGGGAGAAAGAACACAGCCCTGTGGGGCTCCTGTATTTATAATCCGAGAGTCCGAGACATTCTTCCCCAGACGCACTCGCTGCTTCCTGTCCGTCAGGAAGTCAGTGATCCACCTGCAGGTGGAATCGGGCACGTTGAGCTGGGAGAGCTTGTCCTGGAGCAGGGATGGCAGGATTGTGTTGAAGGCAGAGCTGAAGTCCACGAACAGGACCCTGGCGTAGGTCCCCGGGGAGTCCAGGTGCTGTAGGATGTGGTGGAGGGCCAGGTTAATGGCGTCGTCTACAGATCTGTTGGCTCTGTAGGCGAACTGCAGGGGGTCCAGGAGGGGGGAGGTGAGGGACTTGAGATGGGAGAGAACCAGGCGTTCAAATGACTTCATGACGACAGACGTAAGTGCTACAGGTCTGTAGTCATTGAGTCCTGTGATCCTGGGCTTCTTCGGGACGGGGACAATGATGGAGGATTTGAAGCAGGCCGGGACATGGCAGGACTGCAGAGAGGAGTTGAAAATGTCCGTGAACACAGGAGTAAGCTCACTGGCGCAGTGTCTCAGAGTGGCCGGAGACACGTGGTCCGGGCCAGGAGCTTTGCGGGGGTGCAGCCTCAGGAAGAGTTGTTTAATCTCTTTAGCGGCTATTGTTAGGCTAGGGGCAGGGCTGATGGGTGGGTCGTTAGAGTAGTGGGGGGTGGGGGAGGGAGAGGTGTCAGGGGCAGCATCAAAGCGACTGAAAAATAAGTTCAGATCGTCAGCTAGCTTGTGGTCATCAGCACAGGGGGGGGCTTTGGGTTTGTAGTTGGTGATCTCCCGTAGGCCCCTCCAGACAGAAGCAGTATCGTTGTTACCAAACTGCTCCTGTAGTCGTTCTCTGTGCCGGGACTTGGCTGCTTTCAGTTCTTTCCTGAACTGATATTTAGCTGCTTTGTAGCCGCTGCGGTCCCCCTCCCTGAAAGCAGACTCCTTTGCTTTCCTGAGCTGCCGGAGTTTAGCAGTGAACCAGGGTTTGTCGTTGTTATAGATGACCCTGGTCCTTGTTGGAATGATGCTATCCTCACAGAAGTGGATGTATGACGTTACAGTGTCCGTATATTCATCCAAACTATCTGTGGCAGCTCTGAAAAGGTCCCAGTCTGTAGATTCCATGCATGCGCGCAGCTCTTCCACAGCTTCATCAGACCACACTTTGGGATCTGTTCCCATGGACGAACAAGTTTAGATCTAGGACCTTGATAATAATGCTTAAAGGTCCCACATTCCACATTTCTCTGATTTAAACATCATTACAGTTATTTGCCCAGAGTAGTTTTTTCATTGATTCCCTCAAGCTTTAGTTACAAAGTGATCTTTCTCTTTCATTCCGCCTCATGGACCAATACAGTACCTGTGTCTATATTCTTTGTATTTGAACTGTTTGATTCTCTTGTCTGTGTTGGTGAATTCATCGGTTTTATTAAGTCCTCTGGGATAACTACTGATGTGATTTAGGGCTGATTTAGTCAAGAATAAATTGAATGGAATTGAGTCTCGAGAGGCTCAGAAACGAGTGACGTCAAAGGCCCGCCTCAAAGAGGTGATTGACAGCGGGGAGAAAGTGAACCAGCGAATCAGGGCAGTCTATGATCTGCGCTCCAGCCTTTCTCAGAGTCCAGCGTCTGGTCCAGACTGTAAATATTAGTTTGGTCCCGCGTCTACCACCCATGTGCTGTTTGTGTTAGCATCATGTGACTTGGAGAACATGGGTTTTTGGTGTAAATATGCAACAGAAGTATTTGACCCAAAGACGAAGAATGACGCCCAACTTTATTTACGTGGATTTGCCTCTGAAAATTGCGACGTATATGATTTGTTTTTCTGTGAGACACTTCAACACAGACTGTTCCAGAACTAGACTTACCATGAAACTGGACTTACTCAATAGCTGATCTGGAAACCGGGTTTTATTCCCACGATAAAAGACGCAACATCTGTAAGTACAGTGCTACTAACTCGCTGTAAATGGTCTATATTCTGATTCGAGGACATGGGGCTCTATGCGAAGGATTGCCATTGTTGGAAAAAGTTTAATCTCAGGTCTGAAATGATTATGTGCCAGCAAAAACTCAACAGTTAGCTTTGTTTGCCGTGGGTGCAGGGGTGAGGCGGGGGTGAGGCGGGCTCACAGACAGAGGAGCACAGATCCAAGCCTTTCACATGAGGTGACATCACATCTATGCACAAAATGGCTATAATCTCACAAGTTCTGAGTGTTGTATGGTATATCCAAATTATTATCACACATGTGCTTCAGGGGGACTGTGAAAAATTAAGAAACATTAAATATAGTACCTTTAATAAAAGTTTTGGACACTCAGACACTTCACACTCTGTACACTGTGGTGATAAACCACAGCGCTTTTCTACCTATTCAAGGCTCTCTGGAGAGCAGCTTCAGCATCAGACTTATACACCCTCGTTGTGTGAAGGAGAGGTTCTGCTAGTCTTTTCTCCTGGCTGCTGTCAGGCTGTACAATGAGAACTGCTGAGCCAAGATGTCACCTCATCTGTTAATAGTGAATTCTACAATCATTTGCAATGTGCAATTGTCACTTTATCTACTTATTATCCTGCCAGATATGTACATCATTTATCACCAGAGTAAACAGGCATCACAGTACGCAGACACCAGAATACAGGCATCAATGTACGCAGACACCAGAGTACAGGCATCACAGTACGCAGACACCAGAATACAGGCATCAATGTACGCAGACACCAGAGTACGCAGACACCAGAGTACGCAGACACCAGAGTACAGGCATCAATATACGCAGACACCAGAGTACGCAGACACCAGAGTACGCAGACACCAGAGTACGCAGACACCAGAGTACGCAGACACCAGAGTACAGGCATCAATGTACGCAGACACCAGAGTACACAGACACCAGAGTACACAGACACCAGAGTACACAGACACCAGAGTACGCAGACACCAGAGTACGCAGACACCAGAGTACGCAGACACCAGAGTACACAGACACCAGAGTACACAGACACCAGAGTACACAGACACCAGAGTACACAAACACCAGAGCATGCAGACACCAGAGTACACAGACACCAGAGTACGCAGACACCAGAGTACGCAGACACCAGAGTACGCAGACACCAGAGTACACAGACACCAGAGTACACAGACACTGGGGTACACACGACAGCATTATCACAGCATTTCGCTCAGAGGACACACACTGCCGCCTTGTAGCCACAGCTGCCCTGGGAAACCAGTCTGTGCCACCAGCCACCAACCTTTCACACACACACACCAGACTTACTCTAATGTGGAGGAAATGTCCATAGGCACCATAACAGTGTCATCCAGCCAACTTCACTATAGACTGCTGAACCTCGTGCCAGAAAAATGTGGTCTATGGCACTAATGTAGCTGCTGTACGACTTTATTCACCTGTTTTAAATATTCAACTCAGTTCCAATAGAGAAATCACAATCTCGCAAGTTTACAGTTTTAAATAAAAAAAACGATTCTAAAAACATTGTCCACACACACAGGCAAACACATTCACACATGCACATGCACACAGGCACACACATCCACTGAAGGATTGCACTTTTTTGTTTTAATAGCTAATAAAGCATTCAGAAATTCAGCAGAGAAAATGGTCCGAACCAATCAGACTTTGCAGACATCACCCAGAGGAAGCATCTCATCACCAGCTACACCACGTCTGCTGCTGTTGCGCTTTATTACTATTGTTAGTCACTTTTACAATTATGCATTAGTTTGTTTGGGTGGATGTGTTTCTGCTGCTGGACACATTTCTTCTACAGGGATCAATAAAGTATCTATCTATCATCTATATCAAGTCCCACCTGTTAACGGATCTCAATGGAGCAAATCAAGACCTAAGTATGATATGAAATTAGTACAATGGTATGGCAAGACCAGGCTACAAAGAACCTGGTCCCATTTTAATATTCACTCACAGCAGATTCCTCTCATGACAACAGCTGTCACCTCTCTCTCAGCCTCCAACACTAACTCCACCCAAATATGAAAAGATTGTCTTTGGTCCCAGAAACAAAGAGAGCCTTATCCTTCACCTCCAGTCCCTCTCCTTGAAATCTTCAAACCAGGTCAGAAATCTAGGAGTATACTGGACTCTTAAATGTTAACCGCCACATCACATCAGTAACAGCTTTTTACCGTCTGAAACATTGGGAGAATCAAAATGTGTTTTGATCAGAGTTGGAGATTCTTAACCTGCATTTGTCTCCAGCGAAAGACGCATAGTCTGTAAATATTAACGAACGTAGTCACGCCTATCTCAGCCGTTCAGCAGGAAAATAGCCGGCATGAGCCCCACTCATTAAACAAGTGCCTTCTGAAGTCCACAGCAGTCCAATTAGACTGATCCAAAAAAATATACTTCCCTCAGGATTGACAACATCTGGAACGTAGCGTTGGACCAAGAGCCGACTTTTGGACCATCCTGTAAAGGCGTTTTCCACAGGAAAGAATAAGTCATACAAAAGCATTGGGTAATTCTCTTTCCAGGTACACCCCCACCGGCTCGGGGTGAACGCACATGCTCACGGACCTTTTGGAGCCGAGACCTGCCCCCACTGGTTAGAATCCTATAACTGCTACTCACTGGTCTCTCTGAACGAGTTGTAAAACAGCTGCAGTATAAAACGATGCAGCTCGAGTCCTGACTAGAACCAGGAAGTACCATTGCATTAGTCCTGGTCTCAGGTGTCTGCTTCCTGTAGCTCAGAGAATAGAGTTTAAAACAGCTCTGTTGGTTACAAGTCTCTCCATGGTCTCAAAGTACATCTGTGACATGTTAGTGCCATATGAACCAACTCTGAGGCCTCCTGCTGGGATTCTGAGGAGAACAGGGACTGGCCTCCTGCTGGTTCCAGAGTCAGGACTAAATATGGGGAGGCAGCATTTCAGATTGATGCAGCTAAAATCTGGGACAGTCTTCCTGAAAATGTGAGAAAGGCTTCTTCTCTGACAATGTTCAAATCCAGGTTAAACACAGGTTCTGTTTAGCTGTGCTACAACTGAGGGATTTTTATCTTCTTTCATCTTTTTAATGCACTGATTTTAATGCTGTAATTTTTTCTGTGATTTTGGTGAGAAAGGCTCTGAAGGCAAGAGCATTTTTTTTTACAAAGCCCACCAAAATGGTCCAAAGATGTCAATTAGAAATAGCTGCAGTATAAAAACCATCACATTTAGTTATTGCATTGAGAAACTATACAATATGAACCCAGCCTGTTGAGCTGCTGCCACTTCATCCACAACCTTTAGTTTTGGAAATGACTCGTCTCTCATCTCGCTCTTCATAATTGTTTGACTTTTTTCTGTTTCTTTACGTAGTTCATTTCTCTGTCATTATTTTTTATGAAAATGTTTTAAATTGATTTTATGTAATTTTACTGTTTACTGTTACCATAATAACACACTGTCGACTGTCAGAGGTTAGCATTAGCGTTTTTGCTGTATTTCAGTTATCACCAGTTTTACCACCTATTAAAAGTGAGTAAAGGTAAAAATCTTATAAATTACATTCTTTGGGGGAATTTCTCATATTTCCATGAGATTGGGAGCAGTCAAAATGATGGCTCTGGGAGTTCTTGTGTTAATTGTTGATTATTAGCTTTGCCGATCAAATTGCCCAAATTACAGAGAACAAATATGTTTTTGTTTTAAACTACATCATGATATTATAAGAAGCACAGTTTGATCTTAAAACATGGCCTAATTATCCCCAGTGTCTATATTACTGTGTATTTAAAGTAAATAATGTGATCGTGTTCACTTTTCCGTAGTAAGTGAAATGACGTCACATGTAGTTCCTCACGATTATCACTGGTTCATAAGACCCGAGCGTGACCAGGACCATCACGACAGGTTACCTCCCAAAGTATAACCACTGTCCAGCTGTCTGAGCAACACACACACACACACACACACGCGCAAACACCTTACCTAGGTATTTGATGGTGAAACCCCGTGGGGGGTTGAGGGACCTCCGCATCCAGCCCTCCCGCAGCACCTCCAGGTGGTCCTCCTTGCCCTGGATGAGCAGCACATGCTCGTCTATCCATCCCAGGAAGAAAGTCTCGGACACGGCCTCGGTGATGCGCTGGTTCCATACGCGCTGCTGTGCGTTCTCCGCCTTGAAGTCGGCGAAGATCTCGTACCCAGTGTGATGTCTGGGCAGCTCCTCGCTCTCAGACACACGGCTGGTGCCCGTGCCCACACCCCCTTCACAGCCCTTTCTGCTCAGTACTATGGCCAGGGAGTGTGGGGCGATCTGTAGAAAGGACTCCATCGGTGCTCTCCTCGCTGCTCACATCCACTCCATTGTTAACGTTAAAAACATGTCTTAAGCTGAAAAGGCTCCATGGTGCCAACGTCTCCGACTGTAAGCGCAGATACGTGAAGCTAGCCCGCTAGCTTCAGTTAGCTTCTCCGCTTTTCACCGAAGCCATCTCCCGTGAGCCCGCGGTTTCCTTAGGACGAAGCCTGTACCGAGACACGGCGAAAAGCCACTCGAGCATTTACGGTCCGTGCCCCGGGTGCTCCCCCCGCGGACCACGGCCACTGTCAGCCCGCTGCTCGCTGCGATAAAGGTCGATTGGGATGAGGCAGCCTTCGATTAGCTAGCTGCTAACAGGATCACAGATGAATTGATCCGATTGAGACGCACTGAGGTGTCATGCCCGTACGTACGCTGCGATAGGCTGCTGCTGTCGGTGGCACCTGTTTGTTTGTGGCACGACGTGTCCTTGCTCCACGGCACAGCGGCAGCAGCAGCGGCAGAGGTGATGACAGAGGCACATCTGCTCTGAGCATCAGCACCTCCGCGACGCACGCTACGCACGGATCATACACACACTGATACACAATAATACACACTGGCACACAATAATACACACTGAAGCTCAATCATACACACTGATACACAGTAATACACAATAATACACACACAGACCCACGCTGACACATACAATAATACACACTGACACACACTAATACACACTGATACACACTGACACACACTAATACACAATAATACACACTGACACACACTAATACACACTGATACACACTGACACACACTAATACACACTGACACACACTGATACTCAATCAAACACACTGATACACAGTAATACACAATAATACACACACAGACCCATGCTGACACATACAATAATACACACTGACACACATTATTACACAATAATACACACTGACACACATGGATACACACTCACACACACAAACACACATGATACACTGTAATTACGGGTCAGAAATCTAGGGGTAATACTGGACTCAGACTTAAATTTTAATAGCCACATCAAATCAGTAACATCAGCAGCTTTTTACCATCTAAAAAACATTTCCAGGATCAAAAACATAGTGTCTAAAGCAGACCTGGAGATTCTTATCCATGCATTTGTCTCCAGTAGGTTAGACTACTGCAATGGCCTGCTCACAGGTCTGTCCAAACAGGCTGTAAAACAGCTGCAGTACATTCAAAATGCAGCAGCTCGAGTCCTGACTAGAACCAGGAAGTACGACCACATTAGTCCAGTTCTCAGGTCTCTGCACTGGCTTCCTGTGGCTCAGAGAATAGAATTTAAAACAGCTCTGCTTGTGTACAAGTCTCTCCATGGCCTCGAACCAAAATATATTAGTGACATGTTAGTCCCATATGAACCAGCCCGGAGTCAGAACTAAACATGGGGAGGCTGCTTTTCAGATTCATGCTGCTAAAATCTGGAACAATCTTCCTGAAGATGTGAGACAGGCCTCCTCTCTGACAATGTTTGAGACAAGGTCTAAAACATTTCTGTTTAGCTGTGCATCCAACTGAGGGATTTTATATTTTTATCTTTCTTTTTAATGTACTGTGATTATTTATGATTTTAATGCTTTCTTAGTTTGTTCAGCACTTTGAATTGCCTTGTGTATGAATTGTCCTATACAAATAAACTTGCTGTGCCTTACGTTTACAACAAAAACAGAAAGGGCTGTTTGGGCAGAAGACATTAAACTAATGTTTTTTTCCTACGACCCAATGGCTCTAATGTGTTTATTTATTTATTTAGAGGATAAGCCCCTTGAGATGAACCATCTCATTTTCGAGGGGGTCCTCGAGATTTCACAAAGTGACAGATAGAGCAAAACAGATGCAAACAAAACAAAAATACAAGAAAATAATAAAAATAAAAAATAAAACCAAAAAAATACATAAAAAATACACACACATAAACCCTCAATCACTCACACACACATGCTGTGACTGTACTGTAATTACACTAAATAAGGATAATACTATTAATAATAGTAATAACAATAATTAGGAGACAATAAAGACAAGATTAGGTCTCATAACCTAAGATCAAAAACATTAACATGAATTCTGGAGCTATTGTAGCAGAGCAGATTTAAACAGAGGCAGAGAAGTTAGAGAGCGAACAGACAACGGCAAACTGTTCCAGACAGAGCTTTAAATTCAAATGCATGTCTTCCAGCTTCTTTTTTCACTCTTGGGACGAAAAAAAGAGACTGATTTGCACGACGCAAACTGTATGAGGATTGGAAAGGAATCATATATTTTTTTTAATATTCTGGAAAACTGAGATAAATACATTTGAAAATAAACAATAGCCAATGTAGCTGACGTCTGGAGGACAGAGAGAGCCACGACAGCTGCTCGTACATCAGGCAGTCATGGGTTCTGGAGGACAGCGAAGTATGAACCTACACAGGCTGTTGTAAGAGACCGTCAGAGCCTGGAGAACAGAGGCAGAGGTGCTTTGATAAATTATATCACAGTAGTCAAGAATGGAGAGAATCAGTTGAGAAATGATCCTCTTCCTTACTGATAAACTAAAACAGTTAATCGACTGATAAAGTTATTTTAAACTATAGGAAATTTTGCTTGTAATTGTTTGTATATGAATATTAAATGACAGAGAAGGATCGAGCCATAAGCCGAGATATTTAAACCAATCTACAACTGGAACTGGAGACATGTCTGAAAACACAAGATTAATTGGATTTGTGGAAACAGGACACACTCTCTTCTGGAATAGTAAAAAAAAATCTGTTTTTGATTTGTTAAGTATTAATTTGTTAGATTGTAGCCATAAATTAACTGAATTGAAGTCATTTTGAATAGAGTGTTGGATATCAGCAATGTTAGCTTTGGATGAATAGATTACTGTTTCATCAGCATAAAGTTGGATCTGACAGTCTGTACATGCAAGGGGAAGATTATTAATAAACATGGAGAACAGTAGAGGACCAAGTGATGAGCCTTGAGGCACCCCTCTCTCAATAAATGAAAACTCAGAGTAGCTACCATTAAAAAATACACACTGCTGACGATGGTGCAGATAGGAATTAAACCAGAGGAGTGGGGGCCGATCCAGGCCAATGGAGTGAAGCTTGTCTAAAAGCAAATAATGATCGACCAAATCAAAAGCTTTGGTGAGGTCAAAAAATAAAGCACCAGTAAGTAAGTTATTATCAAATCCAGAGAATATATCATTCGTAAACTTTAATAATGTAGACGCTGTGGAATAATGTTTCCTGAATCCAGATTGGAATGGAGACAGAAGATTTTTGGCTGATAAGTATTCTGATAGTTGACTAAACACTACTTTTCCATAAACTTTTACTATACTATTAATAATTGAAATGGGTCTATAGTTATTGATATCACTAATGTCACCCACTTTGTGAAGGGGGATCACTTTTGCACATTTCCAGGCAGAGGGAACTTCACAAGTGTTAAATGATAAGTTAAAAAGATATGCCAGAGGAAAGCACAGAACATGGGAGGCCATTTTGATGAACTTTGCCTCAATACCATCTGGGCCAGCACTGCAAGAAGATAGTCCATTCAAGATCTGTTCTACAGCAGCAGGGCTAACTCGCCTGAAGGAGAAACTGCTCCTACATGGAGCATTATTAAAAGACACAGAGGAATGAGAAGTAGACTGGGCTTGAGGCAAATGAGTAAAATGTTGATTAAAAGCAGTGGCAATAGTGTTTGCATTATTTGTGAATACATCATTGATGAGCATATTATTGGAGGCAGAGTTGGACTTACCTGATAAGTTGTTTACATGCTTCCAAAATTTGTGGGGGTTTTTAAAGTTATTTGTTAAACTGTTTTTGAAATAGTTAGACCTAGCATTTCTGTATATGTTTGTTATTATTGTATTTCCTGTGATTCTCTGATCTGCTGTTGGTGAATAGAGAACTTTGTAAAGTCCTCTGAGACGACTGTGATTGTGATTTGGGGCAGTACACAAATACATTAAATTGAATGGAGTAAACATTTATAATAGTAACTTCAATAGAAAATATCAAATGCAGTTTCTTGTTTTGCCAATAATGAAAGACCAGACAAATACGATGCACAGTTTATTCCATTATTAGGGTTATTAACCCTAACCCTAAGTCATGATCAGAGTCAAACACAGGGGCCTGGCCTCAGCACCTTCACCTGCTGCTTCTGTTGCCTGGGAAGAAAAATAACACATTTATATACAAAAAATCTGTAATCATATTTCAAAATGTGGCTTTCTTTTTTCATTGTGCTCTGTTTTGGGCAAATACAGACAATCAGGTATAAAGGAGTGGAATGACAGGTATAAAGGAGTGGATTACTAATGTCAACACAAACAAGACAAATCACTCCTTTAAAGCCACTTTTATCAAACAGCTTTTAACTGTTAGTTTTAAACTTCACATGCTGTATTTTAATGTCTGCTTTGTCTTTGTTGTGTCTCTCTTCTTGTGTTTTGCTCTGTCTGCTTTGTTTTTCTGTATCTATTGTATCTAATTATTTTGACTTTGATTGTGACCTTTCACCTGAGCTGTAGTTCCCTGTCTTTGTGGAAGAGCTGTTTCAGTTCACACTGAGGTCTGTGGGAACATCTCCTTTCAGTCCATGTGGATTTTAGCTGCAGTACCACAGGTGGCCTCTAGTCCATATGGATTTAAAGTGCAGATGCAGTGGCTCAGACGCAGTGTGGGTCAAACACAGTGGGTCAGATGCAGTGGGTCAGATGCAGTGGGTCAGACGCAGTGTGGGTCAGACACAGTGTTGGTCAGATGCAGTGTGGGTCAGACACAGCAGCAGGTTGGTTAGGGGACCCACCTGTTGATCTGGCAGAGCACACACTCGGTGCTGTATGTTTTGCCGTCAGTGCCACACACAGGGTCAAACTCTTTGGTGCAGCTCCCAGCCTCCAGGCGGCTACAGTCGGGCTGCACACAACAGGACATCACCATCTACTCTACTTTACTGTCAGAACACTTTAGTAGCAGGGCCTCCCAAACAGGGGAGAGTAAAGTAGGGTAGGGTAGAGTAGAGAGGAATAGAGTAGAGGTGAGTGTAGAGTAGAGTAGAGTAGAGTGTAAAGAAGAGTAGAGTAGAGTGTAGAGATGAGTAGAGTAGAGAAGAATAGAGTAGAGTAGAGTAGAGTAGAGTAGAGTAGAGTAGAGTAGAGTAGAGTAGAGTAGAGTAGAATAGAGTAGAGTAGAGTAGAGAAGAATAGAATAGAGTAGAGTAGAGTGTAGAGACAGGTAGAGAAGAGTAGGGTAGAATAGTAGAGTAGGGTAGAGTAGAGTAGAGTTGCACATGAGCAGAGTGGACACAGCTGTTGATCTCAAAATAAAAAATTGACACTAATATGCTTTAAAAAACACTAAAGTAACTGGAAACTGGTGTAGAAATGTTTGAAGTAACTGTGGTATGACGTGTTACAAACGATGTGGGCCCAGAGGTTTGTTTCTGACGCAGCTCTGACTCTGAGGAAGGACTAATGTATGTGTTTGTTATTGTGGCATGTCTGTGTTCGAACTGTTTGATTCTCTGATCTGTTGTTGAGAAATCAACAACTTAGTAAGCCTGAGACAACTGCTGTTGTGATTTAGGGGTGTACAAAAATTAAATGAACTGAATTGAAATGAAAGTTAGGAGAAGCTTTAGGATTTGTAAAGTGTAAATCTTAAAGCACTTACCTCTCGTGGCTGAACCAGTTTTTCTTCCTCCTGGACCTGAACCAGTTCCACCATCACTGCGAACACTGAACACACATGCCATAGGTCATATTACCGTGACGACACACATGTTCCCATGACGACACACATGTTCCCGTGATGACACACATGTTCCCGTGATGACGCACATGTTCCTGTGATGGCACACATGTTCCCATGACAACGCACATGTTCCAGTGACAACGCTCTGTGTTCCCATGTTGACACACATGTTCCCATGACGACACACATGTTCCTGTGATGACGCACATGTTCCTGTGATGACACACATGTTACCATGACAACGCACATGTTCCTGTGACAACGCACATGTTCCCGTGACAACACACATGTTCCCTTGACAAAAAACATGTTCCCGGGAAGACACACATGTTCCCGTGACAACGCACATGTTCCCATGACAACACACATGTTCCTGTGTCAACAAACATGTTTCCATGACAACGCACGTGTCCCTGTGATGACACACGTTCCCATAACAACACATATGTTCCTGTTTTTGAAAACAGTAGACGGGGCTGGAGTGCTTCTTGGATGTAAAAATTAAATGAGGAAAAAAGTGAGGAAAAAAGTAAACTTTTGGTGCTCTTCAGTGGAGGGACCAATGTTGATCATTCTGACAGAAGACTGAGGCACTCAAAAGTTACAAAAATCTTTAAAAGCCTTTATTTGACATGGCAAAAAGAGGTTAAAATTACGCCTACGCGTTTCAGCCTTCTGGCCTTCTTCAGGGCATACTCGAGAGGAGTGTCTCAGTACAGATTTAAAGAGAATGGTGCTTGTCACATGTTCCTGTGACAACACACATGTTCTCGAGAGAATACACGTTTCCCTAACAACGCATACAGTATGTTCCTGTGACGACACACATGTTCCCGTGACGACACACATGTTACTGCGTCAACACACATGTTCCCTGGACGACACACGTTTTCCTATGACGACGCACATGTTCCCGTGACAACACACATGTTCCCTTGATAACAAACATGTTCCGGGACAACACACATGTTCCTGTGACAACGCATATGTTCCTATGACAATATACATTTTCCTGTGTCAACAAACATGTTCCCATGACAACGTACATGTTCCCGTGACGACACACATGTTCCCATGACAATGCACATGTTCCTGTGACGACGCATATGTTCTTGTGGGCTTGAATTTTTCCAATTGAATTTTTTAACCCTGAAAAAGCATGTTTGAATACACACATGTTCCTTTGTCAACAAAAATGTTCCCGTGACAATGCACAAGTTCACGTGACAACACACATGTTCCCAGGACAACACACATGTTCCCATGACGACACTTATGTTCCCATGACGACACATTCTTTTCTGTCTCAGTCTTTAGGCTCATGTCAAACACAGGGTTTTATCTAAACCCTGTGTTTGCTGCAGCTCACACAGGTTTGCGTCATGGTCTAGGTTTTTTTGGTGAGAGCAGAGAGAGCCGAGCAGGTGGGACAGATACTCATGTGGATTAAACTAAGATTCTACACATGTGGATTACATTTATTAAAAAACTTAATAAGATACTACACATGAGGATTACCTACATTTGTTTCATTGAATTCATTTGTTTTGAATTGTTTTTGTTAAAGTCTCACCAAACGAAACAGGAGAGACCTGCAAGCTGTAAGAACACAGTGCTTGGTATGTCTATAGAGTAGAAATACATTAATTAATTAATTATTTTTATCTTTGGCAGGGGGTAACCAGATGTGAGGTCCTTCTCAGATATTGAGACCGATCCAACAGTCACAGACTAATGACACTGGCACCCAGAAAATACATAAAAAAATTTTTTTCTGCTGACGGACTGCGGAAGACATTTACCTATTCAGATGCTAAAACAAGTTAAATAAAGTAAATAAAAAGTTTATATCCTCATATAATGATTTCTTATTTGCTCAATGTAACAACATTGGGAAGAGAAAATTCCAAGTGAAAGTCCTAAGTTTACAGATTACAATGTTCTAAAACAGTTTTGAGTCGTCACATATGACAAATATATATATCTATATATGTATATATGTACATATATAGATGAATATATATTATAAATGTATTTAAGTATATATACTATACATTTGTCACATACCGGTCAGCAGCAGAATAGAGCAGAGCAGAGCAGACGACTTCATCCTGAGGTTGTGGATGTGGTTATGGATGTGTGAGAGAGAAACACGTCACAGACTTACTGTCAGCTGCAGGTTTCACACACCCAGGGTTAGGCTCTGTGTAAAGGTCAGGGTTTACACAGCTGCTGTACACAGCTGCTTCACAGAGCTGCTCAACACACCTGCTTCACAGAGCTGGTCTCAGGTGGAAATGAATGAAAAATGTTGTTGTAAGTAGTTGTAGCTCTGAGTCAATTTGCATTCAAGACTGGTTTGAAGGTCTGCTCTGCTCTACGCAACTCTACTCTACTATAATCTGCTCTACTCTACTCTACTCTGCTCTATTCTACTCTATTGTTCTATATTTCTATGACGACTAGAGAATCTGCATTAGAACAAAGTAAAGCAACACAAATATGTAAAAGAATGAAAGACACTGAACAAAAACACGTTATTGTCCCCGTAGTGTCCTCTGTTTTGGACCCATTCTGCAGTACCACTATAGAACCAGCAGGGGTCCCCATCACGCCCATACTACTGTACGTTGGCTGATCGTACATTCTGGTTCCATGCAGTCGCAGCAGTAAATAATGCTATGTGAAGAATACTTTTGTCCAAAAGGCGACATACAAAAGCGATGCATTATGAGGGTGTAATAGGCTCCAAAAACAGAGCAGACCAAAGCATGTACATTAAAACGAAAGATTAAGTTCCAAATTTGAATCTGAACCATAGACATGAAGACATCTGAACTCAAACCATTGACGATTGGGATGCACCCTTTGGTTTCCACTATCCGCAGATACCAGTGGTTTCAAATCAATTCTAAAGCACAGCCAACTTGATTTCTCTGATGAAATTAAGCACGTACTTTAGCCACTTTCACTAAAAAGTGTTTAGTGTGCAGACATTGTGAAAGCAGAGACTCGTGAAAAAGACCTCTTTTTTATTATACAATTATAGTTAAAAAACACAAAGTGAGTAAAGACAAAACAAAGCAAATGTGTAAGGGTAAATACACGTGTAATACCATGGGGAAGATAGCATCTACAATTGACTTAAAACATTCAATTAATACATGTTGATATACCTTTGGTTAGTACTTTTTGAGATTGTTGAAATATATGGTTCAATTTGTTTGATTAATACTGGGAAAAAACTGGGGCAAATTTCTCACTTTACTGAGTCCAAATTCATGACTGTCCCAGAGCCTCATTCTGCATCACGTACAGATGTAAACATACTATTTCTGCACTAGAATATTCAGGATTTACACTTCGCTTCTTTATTATGCAAAAGTTAAAGATGTTATACTTGCTTTTTAAAATTAACATGCTAAAGTTAGAGATTTTATTTTATTTTAGTATAGAGTAATTGTTAATTTATCCTCAATCCTACTGTTCTGTAACTGATGATGCAACACTGACATTTCACTGCGGGACAAATAAAGGATTTCTTCTACAGTGGCTCAGTTGGTAGAGCATTAGCCTTTGAGATGGAAGGTCGTGGGTTTGGGCCTTCTCCACCGACTCCACTGATGTCTGCCGTTGTTGTGTCCTTGGGCAAGACACTTAACCCGCTTTGCCTAGAAGCGTGGAAGTAATGTTCGCTGCTGCCTTGATGTGTGTATGTGCATGTGTATTCATCAAACTGAAATTTCCCAACTACTTAATCGTTCAATACAATTTCTTACAAAAAACTGGAGGCCAATAAAACACAGACAAAAGACTGACAAGTATCTAGTGAAATAATGAGCAAAAGTCAAGTTCAATTTTTAGTGCTTGATCTCAGGTTCTGTCTTCCCTCCCGCACAATTCATACAGAGTAACCCAAAGTGCTAAGTAAGCAAATTATTTCATAAATATCTAAAAGTCTAAGAGTCCCAGCAGGAGGAGGCCAGTCCCTGTGCTTCTCAGAGTCCCAGCAGGAGGAGGCCAGTCCCTGTGCTCCTCAGAGTCCGATCTGCACGACTGGATCTCTGCACACAGCGATCTGAGTGAACAGTGCCTTGAACGAATAAACAATTTAATGAAGAGAATTTGAGAGAGGCTGAGTGTAATTTTCAAGGACTATTTTTTCTTATCATTTCAAATTCCATGTGAATATTGTTTGAGAGATTTTAAACTTGCAATGTCTCATTGGCAAAATACGTTACAAAAGCTTTTTTTAATAGTCTATCTAATTATTCCCGTTCTGTTCTGTCTATATCTCAATACATTTGTGATAATAAATATTTTCTAATCACTATGAAGTCCCGCGGCCTGAAAACTGGGCGTCTCCTGCAGCCCTCTGGGGGGCGCTGGCGGCCCAAGTTCAGGCACTGTACACCAATCTGTAAAAATGTGTTGTGTGGTAAAGAATTCCATGAGGTGGGCTTTCTCAGAGTCTTTTCAGCCATTTATTGTCTTTAGACTTTGTTTTTCCTCACAAAGTTTACAAAGTCATTATTTATATATTTCTGACACAGTCTCAACTTCCATGAGAGTTCAGAGCTTCACAACAGAAGGTCCTGGGTTCACATCCTCCAGACCCTTCTGAGAGGAGTTGCCATGTTCTCTCTGCGTCTGTGTAGGTTTCCTCTAGGTGCTCCGGTTTGCCCGACCACTACAACAATAGGTCTGAATGATGGTTCTGATGGTTTGATGTGGCAGCATCTCTCTTGAGTGGATCCGTGTGTGACCTTGGTTCGTTGATCAGGACATTAAAACTGTCTGCTGTTTTCTACTGACAGAAGATACATTTGAAAATAGCAGTGTCTTTTTGATTTATGCTGAGGGCCTCCCCAAAACCTTCTTCATTTGACTTTGCCATGAGCCAAAGAAAGATGGGGTTGAGCCCGTAGCCCAATGTTTTTTTATGTCTGGATTGGAGCAGGTGCCCGACCTGGATTGACAAACTGTTTTGAAACTCAGTCAGTGTAGAAGCCCGTCTCACATTTTCAGGAAGACTGTTCCAGATTTCAGATGCAATAATCTGAAACGCTGCCTCCCAATGTTTAGTCCTGACTCTGGGACTAGCAGGAGGCCAGTCCCTGTGCTCCTCAGAGTCCCAGCAGAAGGCCAGTCCCTGTGCTCCTCAGAGTCCATGTTGGTTCAAATGGCACTTACATGTCAGTTTGGTGTGATGGTACTTCCTGGTTCAGGACTTGAGCTTTTGAAAATACTGCAGCTGTTTTACAGTTTGTTTGGAGAGACCAGTGAGCAGCCGTTACCTACTGGGAGACAAATACAGGATTAGAATCTCCAAGTCTTCTTTAGAAACTATATTTTTGATAAGAGTGTTTGGCTCCACCTGGTCCGTGACGTGTCTGAGGCAGAGGAGAGAGAGCCTGGGCCAGGGAGGCAGAGGAGACAAGATGGCGGAGTGAATGGGCTGCGCCGTAGTTTTCGCAGTGACCCTTTACTTCACTACGGTCGAATTCTAAGGACAAACCTGGGAACTATCGGATACATTACCGGAGAGAATCAAACGGACGCCGGGAAGGACCCTACTTTAGTCCGAAGTCCGCGTGCGACAGCGTTAGCTCGATGCTAACAGTAGCTCGATGCTAACAGTAGCTCGATGCTAACAGTAGCTCGATGCTAACAGTAGCTAGCGCTGCTCCGATTAGCTTCAGCTGGTTTCGGGTGGTTTCGTAGGGCCAGTGTTTGGTCCGACCCACAGGTCCGATTCAATACAAACCAGGCATTTTGATATGATGTACAGCAACAGTCATAAGTAAGGAACGAAGAGGGCGAGTTTGGTCGGGGTTTGTTCTTGTGTCAGGGACCTCGGGGAAAGCCTCGACTCTTCTATGTTTGACCGACACTTGGGATCGACGCTCGGGAAACATTTTCTATCGTGAAATCGGTGGAGGGTCACATTGTCAGTGGACATTATGGCGAGTAGCAGTGGTTCTAAAGCCGAGTTCATCGTCGGTGGGAAATACAAGCTCGTAAGGAAAATCGGATCGGGATCCTTCGGTGACATTTATCTGGCCATCAACATCACAAATGGAGAGGTAACATACTGCACTAGTTCTATGACAGCCTTATTCAGTTCTTGTCATGAGTTACATGATCACTGAGCCGAACAGACTGGGTTAAATGTGTCCTTTTCTCTTATGTAACCTGATATTTCTTTTTCGTTTAGGAGGTAGCAGTAAAATTGGAATCACAGAAAGCCAGACATCCACAGTTGCTATACGAAAGCAAACTGTACAAAATCTTACAAGGAGGAGTTGGTATCCCACACATAAGGTAAAGTAAACAAGTCGTGTTGTTGTGAAATAAGTATAAGCTGCTGGATGTCATTCAGCCTGCGGCCTAAGGCCTGACCAGCCCGACCTGTCCCGAACCAGGGCGTCTAGCACTTGGTGTTCTTTTTGAACTTTCTCCATTTGACAAAGACTGTCTTCAGCTGGTTCATCAGAATATAAAACCATGTGAGACGTACGGGGTGTTTTAGTGAAGAAAAGGCCAGTGTATGTCGGAAATGGCCGCTCTCCTTTTGTTTGTGTTAGCTCCAATATGTCTTCCCTGCTGTTGTAAAATGGCGGCGAGGCTGAAAACAAGCTCTCAGGACTTGTCACTTTCCTCCACGATCACAGGGTTATTTCAACCACACATTCTATCTGTGCGCACATTGTTGCCAATGGATTACTGAAGTATTTTCTTGCACTTTTTTACTGTGCTCCACGCCCGTCTTTCCTGTTATCAGCCAGTTGCGACACTAGTGTTCTATTACCAAGTCCCTTTATGGTTGCAGTGTATCCTGGTTTAACTCGTTTTAGCTAGGTTATAAAACACATGGCGTTTGGAATAGCATTTTTATGATTCCACATACCCGGAAATTAACATGGTAGCAAGCATAATTTAATTCATGAAGATTTGATTTACCCAATGACAGGGCTGAGACCCCCTAAAGTGAAGACCCCTGAATTGTTTTTTAAAAACATATCTTCACATATTGTCATGGTAAACTGTCACTATTCTGAAGCCGAATGTAACCCATATTGAAATTACAATTTTAAAACTTAGTTGCCGTACTGTATGTTGTTTCACTAGTTCTGGTATAACCAAGTATTTCTTTTCTTTTTACTGCAACCACAAAGGTTTGATATATTATTTATTTTACGGACTGCAGTGAAAGAAAGTTAGCACAAGTTAGCATTTACATTTCCCTTTGAACTTTAATTGTAGTTATATTAAGTTCAACATTGTATATGGGTGATTCATACAAGAGGGAGAGACAACACATAAACAATCATACATGAAGAGGTGGCAATCAACAGCAGCTCCTGCTTGGTTCTGCCCAGTGTGAGTCTCCATGGCAACACAGGTGAACACAAGTCAATAGATAGTAAGTAACAGGCTTTAGTTATTGGTTCAAGTCCTATAAAGTATTGTATTTAATTTAATGATGTATGTATAGCCCTAAATCATAACAGCAGTATCATGGAGGACCTATAGTTGTCGACTCACTCACAACAGATCAGAAAATCAAATATTTCGAACACAGGAAATTTAATAATAACAATTCTGATTATAGGGGCTTCGTTGTGTTCAAACCTTCATTCTTGTCAGCACAGTCACTGAGTCTATCCAAACAATAGACAAAAGCAATCGAAATGCAGGAACTGGAGTGTTGACTGTGAACATTTTTGAAACAAAAGGAGAGAAACAGCCTTGAACATAGACTCAGATCTCAGCCGCTGTGGAGACTGTAGTGGACTCTGAAGACTCTGTTTTGTAAAATGTAAAAATCCCATTGTGCCCAAAAGGGAACATTTAAGAAATGAAAGTCTGTCAAAAAGAGGAACTCCCCAAAGTGAAGAGGAAGGGCGTCAGAAGCGCTGGCCATAAACTGTGTATTTGGCTTTCTCCTCATAATTCATGACTGACCTTTTATTTAACCAGAAAGTAGCGGTGAGATTTCAGAATCTTTTTCAGGGGCATCCTGGTTCCAAAGAGACTGGGAAGCATGAATGAAAATAAAGTAATTCATTTTATTTATCGCCCCCAAATCACAACAATATTCATCTCCGAGGACTATACAGTTGTAGATTCTCCAACACCAATCAAGAAATCAGGAAATGCAATGATAAAAAACAGTCTTTGGTCCATAAGGGCCAGATGACAAATGTTCTTAAACATTTTTACACTGCTAAAAAATTATAAAATATGTGGTAATAGTTAAACGATTCAAACAAAAGAAATGCAATAATTATAACACATGGAGCCATTGGTCCATAAGACGCAGAGACCAATGTTCACAAATGTTAAGTTCATAAACGTCATCACTGTCCCACCTGCGTCGGAACAACTCTAAAAAACCCAGTGGTGTAAAAGTGAGACATTTTGGAGAGTGCTAACCACTCTCCCACTACCAATAAATGTTTAAAAAGGGAAACAAGAGCTGTATCGTTTTTTTAAAGCCCAACTGTATTTGTTGGCTTCAAATCTGAATGAATCTTTCTGAAAGCGTATCGTTGAATGAATTTTTCCTTCGCTAATAGATTATGTATTTGTGTGTGAAGCATTGGGGCAGGGCAGGTTGTAAATAGTTTATTTCCTAATATCGTTAATCATTTAGTTCAGTTGTCTTAAGTGTATTTGTATTTTTGTAAGGCACTGTTTATACAGTATTTTGTTTCGCCCCATTTAATGAGTTATGACCATGATTTTTAGACCAAAGCCTTAACCAGAATAGCCTCTGCACCTGTTAGCCTGTTAGCAGTGCCTCTAGATCCTTTTGTTAGTATTAAATAGAATTGAAGAAATGTGTGTAGATTTTTATTTATGCATGCCTTCTTGTTTTTAATTCTGCTTTAACTTGTTTGCACTGAGAACCAAAGCAATTTCCTAGTTTGTGACTTCCTGTTACTCATATGGCAATAAGGATTCTGATTCTGAAAGTGTTTAATGCACTCGCTGATAATCAGAAAGTTGATTTAAATGTTTCAATTGTTGCCGCAGCGTGAGCAATTTGGAATGCAGCGAAAGTCTTTCCCATAAGATAACTCGGGGCTGGATTAAGCTACTACATTTCTTCAGTGCAATTTCTTGGTTATTCTGATTTTTCCTGTGGTGTTCATGGGTAACTGAACAACCAAAAAATTCATGGCAAGTGATTGCTTGGTTTTACCCTCGGGTTATTTGCTTCCCAGACATTGTGACCACACCTGCCTTATAAACGACAGTTATATTTTACTCAAAACATGGCCCGATATTTGGCAGACTTCTCATCATTTTTGGTGTATTTAGCTTGGTTTTCTCATTGTTATTTAACCTTTGATGGAGAGAGACTGTTTAGGTCAGACTATGCATATGGGCATACATGTAGAAGTCCAGTACATTCATAAAACATATTACGGAGTACGTTCATAAACCACAGTCCTTTTTCTGGATGGGGTTTGTCCTGAGGGGCCTTTCAAAGACGTCTCGTAACTTTCTTAATACTCAAACTTAGTAACTACAATTGTAAATAGAACTGCTGTCATACTACAAGCACAGTCTGTAATTGTACTCACACATAACTTATAGTTCAGGCATTTGATTTTAACACAAGCTCAGGTGCAGCAGCAGAAATCATGGCGTTTCCGTAGCGCTCTTGAAGGCCCTGTGATGCCAGGGAAGTTTTGTTTTTGCGTCACGGAACAAAAGCAAAACACGTGCAGCGAGGGACTGTCCTGAATCCAAACCCAGTCTCTTACGCTTGTCCTAATACTTACACACCTCATACACGGCTTTTCCCAGTGCACTCGAATGCACCACTGCCCCATGTCTCACTCCAATCAGGCCGACGCATTTACAAGCTCAACCACTGTAGAATCGGTGTGCAGAGGGTTACATGTGTCTTTATCAAGTGAATTAAACTGGAGAATTTCACGAGGGCTTTGTAAACTCAGCCAGGGACCATATGCTACAGATTCATGTGTCGAGGGGAAAGGCTCCAGACAAACAATGGTTACACACTGATCCCCAGAATGTAAAATGTGTATTTCATGGTATCGGTGACGCTGTGTGCTCAGCTTGTCTGAGCCTGTCGGACCTGCTCTTCCTGCTACCACACCTCACTCTTTCTTCAACTGTTCCGTCCTCTCTTGCTGACTCAACGTCTCATAGTCTTCAAACACAACCCCAGTCAACCACAACGCTGCCTCAAAGTGCTGTACGCAGACATTAGCACTGTAACGATACATCCACTCTACTACATGTAAATGTCAACAGTTCATATCATTTCGTTCCCACAATTTGATACACACACAAAAAATGCAAGTGTTGTATTACATTTAGCTGGTTCTTAATATGTAATGTAGTGAGGAAAATAAGTTATTGACAAAAAATGTGTCATTGTGATAATGGCACATCATCCATATCACACTTTTGAGTTAATAACGCATTCTTTCACTGCTGTTTTTTTTTTCTTTGAATCACACCAGTCATGAATGCACAGCCCCAAAAGTGATTGGCCGGAGCGAGCTCACAGACTGAAAAAAACCCCCAAAGATGTCTAAAGATGATACAAAACGGGAGCGCTCACTCTGCTCTGTTCAAACAACTCTTTGTATGTAAAGAGGTGGTCCATGACTTACACTTTCTTTGCATTGAAGTTTGGGTATTTGATTTTTTAAAACAAATATTGTATTTGTTTTAATGCAAATTGAATTTCTTTTACATCTTCATGATCAGGCCCAGATCGGCGGCTGACCTTCTATCGGATCGGAACATTACTTTTATGAAAGCGCATTTAAACTCACTCTCATTGCTTACACTATTTATAATTCACAATATAAATGGCACTGGGAAAACACCGCTAACTTCATTAACCTGGCTTATGCAAAAATGTATGTGTGTGAAGCCCTCGTGTTATAAATGAAATGTCACAGCGGCACAAAAATAAACCCAAGGGGAATATTCCAGATGTAGCTGAAAGGCACAGCAATTATTTAATATAATAAATTAATATATGATAAACAGTTTATTTGCGAATGACTTAAATCCTTCATGTAAACTATTCGTATGGTTCAGCGCTGGATTTCCGGTGCGGCTCCCTGTCTCAGTAAAGCCTTTTTTTTATTCTCTAACAAACGGTGCGAAGGCCGAACCATCTGTATGGAAGAAGTGACTGTCTCAGGTGTGGTGGCAGAGGGTTGACCTGTGCTTCTGTCTGTGCAGGTGGTATGGCCAAGAGAAGGACTACAATGTTCTAGTCATGGACCTCCTGGGACCCAGTCTGGAGGACCTTTTCAACTTCTGCTCTCGGCGGTTTACCATGAAGACAGTCCTTATGCTGGCAGACCAGGTAACTTACGGAATCCTTATCCAAACATGTAAAGGCCCTGCTCTACATTTTATCTAAAGGTGTCAAAAAAAAAAAAATCATTAGTTATTATTAGTTTCTTGCTGCATTGTCTTGTTTAATTGCGGTCAAAGTTTACGTTTAGCACAATTCTTTGTTGCTCAACATTTTTATGTCACAGATCCTACTGCACGTCACAGCGCCTTTTTAATACTCCCTTCACTTGTTTTTGGAAAACTTTTTTGCCGACATTGTAAGACTGGACACAGGTCCACAGACTGTAGCAGTAGTATGCTAGAATTGCAGGTAGAGCTAGCATACCACAATAGCACAAGTTTGATGCTGCAGCACCTGTTGAGAAAGCATCCGATAAATAAATGTTTAATCATGAGGGGTCGTCTCTCTTTGTCACCTTCAAATATCCTTTCATTTGTAAATGATAAAGCAGTTTATCAGTGTTGCATCAGTTACAGAACAGTAGGAAGGAGGAGCACACAGCACAAGAATAACTACTAATAAAACTTCTAACTTTACATGCTTCTTTATTATTCTATAAAATACTGTATATTCTAGTGGTATGTCATTTGATATTAGAAATGTATTAAGCAAAAATGTGATTTATTCGATTACTCAATAAATCAAGTTTTGATACTAAAATATTGCATAGCTGCAGCTCAGACTGGTGCAAGATAGAAACGACTCTAGGAGTTTAGGAGAAAAGTTTTCAGAGGAAAAACCTAAAGTTTCTAAAAGCACAGGGTAAATATAAACAAGTCATAAAGTTGGGATTACACTCGAGGCTCAAGAAATATGTCACTCAAAGCTCTCGGAGTTGTCAGAAGCAGACCATCTTCTCTTGTCGCTCTTAGATCGTTTGTTTATTGTTCAACGACGTTAAAATAACTTTTTTAACAAATTGGCCGAAGATTTGGTAAAATCAGGAAAAGTGCAAGTTTGATTCACATTCAGTCTTTGTTTTCCAGGGCTTTAGTTGAAATCAAGCGATGATAGTGTTTTTTTTTAACGCCCTCTTTTAGTTGACCAAGCGTGTTTTAGGGCCTCAGCCCTAATCTTTTCAACAAATCCCATAATCCCTACTCCATAAATGCGTTGATCGTCGATGCTAATATCCGTCCGGACCATTTATAAGACGGCTAGTGTTCTCCAACGGCCTATCGACCTGTGTCCGTCACGGTGTTGAATACGCAATAGAGAAGAAGCCTCTGTGTTTCTACGTACGTGAATGTGAGACTGAATCTCAACCTTACAACTTTTGTGGCTTCTGTTTGAGTCGGAAGTACAAGTCCTGTACAACCCCCTACTCTACCCCCCCACACTACAACTCACACACACTGTACAACTCGGGACCCCTCCAGACACACACACTGTACAAGTCAGACGCCCAGAAGACCCTAATTTTGCCGCCATCCTAAACTTGTGCTATAAAAATGTCCAAAATTGCTATGTACACACAGCATTAGTAAACATTGTCCCATATTTAAGTGTTTTCTGTTTTGTTTTTTTGATAATTTAACATAAAAGTTTAGCACAAATAAGTCCACGTTTGTGGTTTTACAACTTTTGTTTTGCTCCTTTCAGATGATCAGCAGAATCGAGTATGTGCACACAAAGAACTTCATTCACAGAGATATCAAACCAGACAACTTTCTCATGGGCATCGGCCGTCATTGTAATAAGGTGAGTATCTCACGACTTACCCACAAGCCCCTTTGTTCCTCAACATGCTCATGTCCAGGTCTTATTTAGACTTTTGAGTGATCGTTCACGTAACAGTTACACATAATCAACATGATCTTTCAGGAGATAAAAGTATTTGGTTCTTCTTCACCTGACAATAGTTGGTTAGCGATGTTATTGACCTGTTTAGACGTCTCGTGACATCACACCTGACGCTTTATCAGCTGCTCTTCCCAGTCAGCCAACCTTTCAAGACGTGTCCCTCAAAGCCTGAACTTTACCTCACTACGTCTTGAATTCTCAAACTTATTAAGGTTTTTCTTGTATTTATCTCCTTAAAAAGTTTGAGCTTCCACTGACACCGGATTGATATAGTGCTGTATTTATTGATTTTAAAATAAGTATACATTTTCCACACAACCACATGTGCTTAAGTTTGAGCTTCGGGTTTACCTCCGAAATGATTAGAGGATTTCGACGCCACTTCGTCCATTAGTTCTGAGTTCTCGGCAGGATTTTTTAGCAGCGTCGGGGCTGACATCAGTGAAGTCATCGCTCTTTTCTTTTGTGGGAAATGGAGCAAAGACATTTGCTGTGGTTGCTCTGGGTAAAGTTCAGACACATGCAGCAGCTTCAGTCCAAATCCACTCACGATTAGAGCAGCTAAAAGGAATCGGAATATGGATCTTTAGAAGGAAACCAAAACCAACAGCTCTACTGCTTTAAGCTGCGTTCACATCGCCGACTCATCAACGCAGTGTCTTTGCATCTCAGACACACATTCACTAAACTTCAGTCACGTAGCTTTAGTAAATCTGACGTTCTGCTGTGATGGAATAAACGCAGAATGGAAGTGGTGGGCGGAGCGTTGATGCTAACAAGTTTAAAGCTGGACTTATTCACTTTGTGATTTCGAAGCAGCAGTTTGAAATGTGAGCGCTGCCCTCACTCTTGGGGCGACAGTAGCTCAGTTGGTAGAGCATTGGGCTTTGGGCCCAAAGCCTGCTGTCGTTGTGTCCATGGGCAAGACACTTAACCCACTTAGCCTATAAGGAGCGCAGATATGATGTTCGCTGCATGCCTTGATGTATATGTGTATATGTGTATGCATCAAACTGAAATTTCCCCATTGTGGGACGAATAAAGGACCTTCTTCTCTTTCTGCTCCCCTCCCCGCACTCAAAGCTTTCGCCCCCCACTACCCCCCTCCCACTCAGCTTGTGCTCATGTGCTGTTGTTTACGGAGCTCGCGTCTCACATAATGGATCTCACATTTGAACGTGGATGGCGTGACCATAGAATGATGGAATGTTGATGATGCGAGACTTTCTTTTGGCTGTTTCGCAGAGTAATAATGACCGGTAACGAAGACATGGGAAGTTTCAGGTTAGCCTCCACCATGATGCTCGTTCACCTCCGCCGTCTCTGATAACCAGAGATTTTCTCAAGAAAGTGGGGGCCAGTGGTCTTCTGTGATTGGTCACAATCTGGTTTCTAAATAAATTATTTTCCGCGTTGCACGAAAACTTGATCTAAAAAGAAATTACTCTCTAGTACAAACATGCGCTACTTATTCTTCAAAAGGACATACAGTATATCCCAGGGGTCCCCAATTAAATTGGCACGAGGTCCACTTACTTGATCAGTTCAATAGATTAGGGTCCGGACATCATAAAAATATTTTATTTCATAGAAATCCATCCATCCATTTTCTCCCCCTTAATCCATTTCTGGGTCGGGGGTGGCAGTCAGAGCTGCACCCAGTCCACAGAGCACCAGCCCCTCACTGATCCTCCTGCATGTGGTGAGTCCACAGGAGCTGAGATCTTTCAGTGGGGGCTTTTAGGCAAAGTGGGGTTAAGTGTCTTGCCCAAGGACACAACGACAGTAGTCATCAGTGGGAGTTGTGAAGTAGGTCTTACGGCGGGCTTGAACCCACGACCTTCAGGCCCAAAGGCCAATGCTCTACCAACTGAGCCACTGTCGCCCACTCGTAGAAATCCATTCAAGCTATTTCTTTCATATGAAATGATTTGAAAACCTTAAACAGCAACGACTACAGTAGGAAGAACTATTTGAAAAAAAAAAAAAAATCTAAATATAGGTGTGTATAATTCACACATAACATTAATATCCTTTGTTCATTTCTACACAACACTCCCGACCCTCAAACCTCTCCCAAACTCTTAGAGCAGAGGCTGCAACACATGATAAACATGGAGGATCAGGGGATCTTTACTGTTGAAGTGCTTCTTTCCATCAAATAACGTTTTTGCCATCGCCTCCACACTCTGGCCCCCTCCTCCTCCTCACACTCTGGCCTCCTCCTCCTCCTCACACTCTGACCTCCTCCTCCTCCTCACACTCTGGCCTCCTCCTCCTCCTCACACTCTGGCCTCCTCCTCCTCACACTCTGGCCTCCTCCTCCTCCACACACTCTGATCTCCTCCTCCTCCACACACTCTGGCCTCCTCCTCCTCCTCACACTCTGGCCTCCTCCTCCTCCACACACTCTGACCTCCTCCTCCTCCACACACTCTGGCCTCCTCCTCCTCCTCACACTCTGGCCTCCTCCTCCTCCTCACACTCTGGCCTCCTCCTCCTCCACACACTCTGACCTCCTCCTCCTCCACACACTCTGGCCTCCTCCTCCTCCTCACACTCTGGCCTCCTCCTCCTCCTCACACTCTGGCCTCCTCCTCCTCCCTCACACTCTGGCCTCCTCCTCCTCCTCACACTCTGGCCTCCTCCTCCTCCACACACTCTGGCCTCCTCCTCCTCCCACACACTCTGGCCTCCTCCTCCTCACACTCTGGCCTCCTCCTCCTCCACACACTCTGACCTCCTCCTCCTCCTCACACTCTGGCCTCCTCCTCACACACTCTGACCTCCTCCTCCTCCACACACTCTGGCCTCCTCCTCCTCCTCACACTCTGGCCTCCTCCTCCTCCACACACTCTGACCTCCTCCTCCTCCACACACTCTGACCTCCTCCTCCTCCTCACACTCTGGCCTCCTCCTCCTCCTCACACTCTGACCTCCTCCTCCTCCTCACACTCTGGCCTCCTCCTCCTCCTCACACTCTGACCTCCTCCTCCTCCTCACACTCTGGCCTCCTCCTCCTCCTCACACTTTGGCCTCCTCCTCCTCCTCACACTCTGACCTCCTCCTCCTCCTCACACTCTGGCCTCCTCCTCCTCCTCACACTCTGGCCTCCTCCTCCTCCACACACTCTGACCTCCTCCTCCTCCACACACTCTGGCCTCCTCCTCCTCCTCACACTCTGGCCTCCTCCTCCTCCACACACTCTGACCTCCTCCTCCTCCTCACACTCTGGCCTCCTCCTCCTCCACACACTCTGACCTCCTCCTCACACTCTGGCCTCCTCCTCCTCCTCACACTCTGGCCTCCTCCTCCTCCTCACACTCTGGCCTCCTCCTCCTCCTCACACTCTGGCCTCCTCCTCCTCCACACACTCTGACCTCCTCCTCCTCCTCACACTCTGGCCTCCTCCTCCTCCACACACTCTGACCTCCTCCTCCTCCACACACTCTGACCTCCTCCTCCTCCTCACACTCTGGCCTCCTCCTCCTCCTCACACTCTGGCCTCCTCCTCCTCCTCACACTCTGGCCTCCTCCTCCTCCACACACTCTGGCCTCCTCCTCCTCCTCACACTCTGACCTCCTCCTCCTCCACACACTCTGGCCTCCTCCTCCTCCTCACACTCTGGCCTCCTCCTCCTCCACACACTCTGACCTCCTCCTCCTCCACACACTCTGGCCTCCTCCTCCTCCTCACACTCTGGCCTCCTCCTCCTCCACACACTCTGACCTCCTCCTCCTCCTCACACTCTGACCTCCTCCTCCTCCACCACACACTCTGGCCTCCTCCTCCTCCTCACACTCTGGCCTCCTCCTCCTCACACTCTGACCTCCTCCTCCACACTCTCTGACCACAACAAGACTTTTTATGCCCAAAATCCACTGAACTCGAAGCACTAAAGTAGGCCATACGCTGTTTGCTAATGCTTGTGTACCTCTGTCTCGCTCCTGCTCTTTCTCCGCGCACACTTAGGAGCACAGGAGTTGCTGCTCCTCCTCACACACCTCTGTCTCGCTCCTGCTCCTCCTCCGCTCATACACAGCCAGTGTGAGCAGCTGAACGCTAGCGTCCATCGCTCCGTACACATCGCTCATTCTCGTCTCTTTCACGTCTCTGACTCACTCAGACACCGCTAAAGTTATTTTCACAGCTTCATAAAGTTTTCTTGAAGGACCCCGCTCTGCAATAGCCGACCTCGGGCCTGCCTGTTTACAAATCGCTTTTGGTGAAAATTTGACACATAATTGTAATAATGTACTTTTGGACAAAAAAATCTCAGCGGTCCAGAGAAAAGAGTCTCGGGGTCCGGACCTGGACTGCGATCCGCCATTTGGGGACCCCTGGTATATCCCAATGCACTGTATGGATATGGTTTGAATTTCCCTAATGAATACAAAAATAAAACTTTAAGCTAGTAGCTTTTTTTCTTTTCATACACTGACTGTCGATAGGAATCCACTACTGAACCCCAGAGAACTGTCAAAAGTCAGATTTGTTCGTCTTCACAGCCTTTTGAGAGCTGCTTTGATCAGTCCCTTGACTTTGCCAATTTTAACCCTTTTGCTCGGGAAAATTGACCCGCCACAGTGATTAAAAATACCATAAATAAACATTATGGTATATTATAGAACCTTTCCATCCATTTTCTTCCGCTTTTTCCGGGTCGGGGTACACACTGTGACGGGTCATTTTGACCCGACGGGTTAAGAAAGTTCAGAATTGCTATAAATCAGTGCTTGGTCCTCTTCTTGTTTTGTACAGTGGCTCGAAAGTATTCATACCCTATGAACCTTGTACATGTGTCACAGGGCCACAGTTTGACCACACATAGAGACTCAGACACTCTGAGCGACTATTGTGGAACCCACTTTTGCTGCAATTACAGCAGAAGTATTTG